CGGTTGCACAACCGCGGAAATTCTGCGCCACCACCGCGGCCAGCACCGCGGCCGGGGCATGGGAGGGGCGCCCACGTGACACCGCGCGCTCGAGACGCCCCGGAGCTGGCCGGGTGGGCAGGCGCTGGAGTCGCCGAGGAAGAGCCCGAAGATGGATGTGGGGCCTATGCAAAAAAACTAGGAGCGACCAAAAGGAAACCACGCCGCGTTTCCTCCTGCACGCAGCCCCTCCTCTCTATCTCTCCATCGCTCTCACGTTTTACTACATTCTCTTCTCCCCCCACCCCCCGCTTCGCTGATGATAAAGTGATTGCTTTCAACACGGAGTTTAAGTGAAATTGAGTTTTGTTTTGAAATCATCTGTTTATATTGCAATACCCCACCCTCAGCATGATACAAATGCTACCGGCAAAATAAGCGAGGCTTCGAAAGTGGTGGGGGAAGTCTCGGCGTTACAGAACTGCAAACGTCTGCGCCTGTCCACTGGAAAACAGCATCGAGTACTGGCAACGGCTCAGGTCTTAGCCTGTGAGAATAGTTCCCTCTGCAGGCAAGATATAATAGCAGTTGGCGCCTCCTCCTGCATGTCTAAAAGTATTCCGGGATAATGTACCTGACGCTGGGGAAACCTAGTACTGTTGGGACAGGAGTTCCCATATCCCTTCATTTCTGGATGTCCTAATTTAGCACAAAACAAAGGTTTTATATGAGAGCTACATGGTGTGAAATCTGTTTTTCCAGTGTTGACAGTTGTTAATCAGGCTGTTTCCTTCCTAGTCCTAAAAGACCTTGGCGTTTTCGATATGCTCAAATTGTAGCATTCACCATATCACCCCCTACTCTTCACCACTGCTGTCATCCGCTGCTCTTTCCCACCCCAGTTCCTCTGCTTCAATTTCAGACGCCAGTCTTTAGTTCATTTCTACTTTCTCCAACACTAATCCCGCCTCAATCCTTTGTAATTGAGTAAGTATGTTGTATTATTCAGCTTTCCTGTCACTGGAACACAATACCTGACACCTCGAATTTAAAGAATGAGACGTTTAATTTGGCTCATTATTTCAGGGGCTTTAGCACACTGTTGGGTGACCAGAAGGCATGAACATCATGCTGAAGAGTAGGGCAGAGCCAGCTCAGTCTCCAGGAAGCAGAGCAAAGGAACAGTGCCTGAAAGGAAGGGGCAAGGAGCTATATATAGTACTCAAGGACGTGCCTCAGTGACTTACTCAGGCATGCCCAGAAGTGTGTTTTACTAATCCCGTGGGAGGCCCCAGCCCATCAAGTTGACACAAGCAAGCTTAACATAAGGTATAAAAAATTCTGTCATAACAAGAATAGTGATAATGGGAAAAGGAGACCTAGTGATTGGGAGAGGGTGGTGGGTGGAGAGGGGAAGAGGAAGAAAAAGAGTCAAGATATGTGCAGCACTTAGTTCCCTTCCATAAGATGAGTGTCATGTAACAATGTAGTAATAAATTAAAAAGAGCTTTTCAGAAACTTAAGGTAAACTCACCTATTAACCTCTGTGAAAAATGAAAAAGACAAGTTACATAATCCCAAGATACAATGGTCATGGAGTAAGCAATAGATTCCAAAAGGGAAGAATGGGGGACTTTAAAAAAAATTGAACCAAAACAAGACCAAAGTCTCACAGTGTAAACCATAGGCTCTGTAGCTCCATATCCAACATCCAGAACACATGGCTGTGCTATGTGAGTTCCACAGGACTTAGATGGCCTCATCCCTAGAACCTTTCAGGTTTGAGGTCACGTGGTCTCTCACTTGGCCTGTCCCTGAGACACATCCTAGAGTGCCCACTGCGCCTTTGGCTTCATTCGCACCTCTTCACACACTGCCCTTTCCTGTGCTCCTTGCTTGGCCTTTTACACTTGTTTTTGAAATCTAGGTGGAAGTCTGACCCTGCAACTCTAGTATTCAGCACATGTGAAAAACTAGCATCCTATAGATGATACCAAGGTTGTCTACTGAGGTGGGAGAAACCAGGCCCCTTGGACTACAGCAGGGACCTCAGTGCCTGGATGGCTGAACACAGTGAAATGCGTTCTGAGGAACAATTCTCTAGGTGGCCCTTCTCGAGGAGGGGGCCTAGAGGATATCTTCCCAAATGAAATATTTATTCTTTTGGAGTCTTGAGCCTAGGATGGGTAAGGTGCTTTTGATTCCTGAGATGCTCTTGAGGCATCTTTCTTTTTTACTTGGTTCTATTTTAATGGTACTAATCTCTTCAGCAACTTCAGAATCAATTTTACATATCATTTCCTCTGAACAAAAAAGTTTTTCAAATTTTTGTACTCTACTTTTCACTCCTTATTTTCACCCTAAATCTGGCTAAGAGCAACCAGCAATACTCATGCCACAGCCTGAACATTGTGCTGCTTTAAAATTTTCTTTGCCAGATCAATTAATCTACTGCCTTTAAATTTAGTCTCCCTCAACTTCTCAGAACATAAGAAGTGTCTAGACATTTTTTTTCCAGAGTATAATCCACATGGCATCTAGTCCAATTCCCAAAGGGGCTCTGTTCCCTAATGAAAACCTCTGAGCCTGGTCTTTACTGTCCACATTCCTATCAGCATTCTGGTGCTCTGTCCTCTGACCAGAATCACCTATTGGCCTCTACTTAGAGTACTCAAAGACTTCTGTGGCCCAGATCTCCACACTTGTCTCTCTCAAAACAGTTCTAAAAACTTCTAAACCTCATGATCAGGTGTAGTGACAACGACATCTGGCTTCTATGGTACTACTTTTCTGTATTAGTTTTCCTGTCTCTGGAACCTAATATTTAACAACTGTAATTCAAAGGAGGAGAGAAAAAAAATCAAGGAGGAAAGGTTTAATTTAGCTCATAGATTGTCTCAGGAGAATCAGTCCCTAATTGGCTGATCCAAGACACAAATATCATAGCAGAAGAGCACAGTAGAGAAAGATGATGGTTCACGGTAGCCAGAAACTAGCTCATAGGAACAGTACCAAAGAAGAAGAAGCAAAAGACTTAATATAGTACTAATGGTCATGCCTCAACGACATAGCGGATGCCCCAATCAAGCTTAACCGTTCTATTCATAGAACAGAGGATGATCTTCTATTCATTATTCTAGACTCTATTTTCCTGACTCTTGTCTTCCAGTGATATTGGATGACTCCTCTTCCTGATTCAAGCTCCTACTCCAATTATGACTCCCTAGGACTGGATCTTATCCATTATTTCTATTTCTTGCATTATTTCAATCACTAG